TGATGAGAATTTGTGCTAACAACGCCAAAATACTGAATCAAGTGGAACTAGTTAGCGTCAGAATGGACTAAGCATAAAAATAATTATCAGCATCGTTTAGGGCTGAGAAAAAAATATTATTCATAAAAAAATGAGATGCCATTTATATATATATTTTTTCGATTTGTTTTCCTAATTATTTCTTTTTTTTTATCTCGTTCTCAGTGAATTATTCCCTCAGCAGTTGGATGCAACAGCTCCTATTCTTTCGTTTCTGCTAGATAAGAGAAATGTGAATTGACTTGTCATTTTTGTCTTGTCTCTTATTGTGTTGGAAGCCTAATGGGTTTGCTCCTTTCCTCTCCCTCTGTCTGTGTCATAACTAATGACAACTCGGGTGAATTTATTTAATGTTTTTTTTAGATGCGTGTGCATTTGATGAATTCGTACCGCTTTCTTAAATGCTCACATGAATTATAATTATTCATATGTTTTCATTTTCTAACTCTTTGATTTGTAAAAATCTCGAAGTATAAAATGCGGTAAGTAGTTTAGAATAACCGCTGAGAATATAGATTAGAATGGAAAAGTTTGCGATGGCGAGAAAAATCTTTTTGTAAGGAGACCGAATCAACAGTTTTGGGACTCTTTGATTTGTAAAAATCAATCTCGAAGTATAAAAATGCATTAAGTAGTTTGGAATAACCGCTGAAAAGATAGATTAGAATAGTAAAGGATGCGATGGCGAGAAAATCCTTTTATAAGGATACTGAATAAACAGTATTAAAATCTCACTGTCCTCTGATAGATGGAAATAGACAAAACTGGTATTATACCAGGTGAAGTATAAGAAATTTAAACTATTATGATGCACTAGCGCGCCATCTGTTATGAAAATTCGAAACTATTTTAGACGCGTAAGATTCTTTTTGAATTTAAACAATTTCTACTGCCCTTACTGTAATGGAAAAATTAATGGGAGGGCCTGGCTCATCATTGGTGAACCCTCCCAGCGGTTTCGCCAGTTTAATCTACCATACCGCTGTTATATTGCATTTCAAAAAAAAAATCTTCCTCTTATAGTGATACTGATGCTAGACTCTTGGAATGTGTATTTTAGATTAACTATGGACATAAGCTCTGAGGACAGCAGAATTACATACAAATATAAATATATAATATGCTTCGAGCAATCGCTCTTCCGCAAATACCCATTCCAAGAGTCTAGCAACAGTATCACTATAAAAGGAAGTCCCAAAATGCAATATAACAGCGGTATGTTAGATTAAACTGGCGACAACCGCTGGGAGGGTTCACCACTAATGAGCCAGGCCCTCCTATTTATTTTTCCATTGCAGTAAGGGCAGTAGAAATTGTTTTAATTAAAAAAAAAAAAAAGAATCATATGAGTCTATAATAGTTTCGAATTTAAATTTAAACTATGTTAATAATATAATCCCTCCAGTAAAATTATAAATAAAAGAGAATTCGCTGAAGGAAGAGTTTCTTTTATATATTACGGCAATACAAATTTTCGGGCTCAACGTCCTTTGACAGGTATAATTACGCTACCAAAGTTTTTAAAATTCAAAATATTCAAAAAACCTTAGTAATATAGTTATATCTAAATTCGAAACTATTATAGACGCGTATGATTATTTTTAAAAATGAACAATTTCTACTGTCCTTACTACAATGGTTGTATTGGGCAGTAGAATTTGTTTATTTTTAAAAAGAATCAGACGCGTCTATAATAGTTTCGAATTTTCATAACAGATGGCGCGCTAATGCATCATAATACAGTGGTACCTCGACATACGAGTTTAATTCGTTCCGCAACCTTGCTCGTATCTTGAATTACTCGTATCTCGAAGCAAATTTCCCCATACAAAACATTTGAACTACCATTAATCCGTTCCAACCTCCAAAATGTCACACCAGTTATTTTTTTTACGTGGTTTTAAATAATAAAAACGTATTTATAAATATCAAATATTTATTGCACAAAAACAAAAAGGAGAATGTAAAGAAATAAATTAGATATCCTCACTGGTCTTTGCCTTTTTCGCTACATTTTTCTCGCTTTCACCTGTAGGCCGTTTAGAAAAAAAACATGTCCAAGGAGGTTTGTTTCTTCCTCCCTCTCAGAATGTTCCGGAAATGAGTTAGGCAAGTGTCATTAAAAAGGTCAGATGCACGACCTGTTGCAACTTTTTCTGTTTTTTTTTCCCGCGAACTGTGAAACTCTCTCCCACATTCCTAAGATCTCCTTTATCTCACTTGTAGAAATAACCTCCTCCTCTGACTCCTCAAAACCAATTACTTGCATAACCTCAGTATGCTGCTGTGACTGTAACTCTTGTATCTCCTCAGTCGTCAGTTCCTGGGTGTGCGCGTGATGGCGCGACTGCGTGTTACTACCGAACCGAACTCGTATCTCGAATTTCGCTCGTAACTAAAAGCAAAAAATCACTTGCTCGTCGGCTCGTATCTCGAAAAACTCGTATGTTGGGGCGCTCGTATGTCGAGGTACCACTGTATAGTTATATCTGTTAAAGGGACGTTGAGCCCGAAAACTTTTATAACGGTTATATATAAAAAGAAAGATTCCCTCAGCGAATTGTATTTATAATTTAAACTATTGTAACAAAGTATTTATTATTTTATTAGCAGAGTATTATTTTTTATGTTTATATTTTGCTATACTCTGTACATTTCCCTCTTTTGCTTATCTTTTGTTTATCACTCATAGTTTGTTCTTGCCTGAAATAAATTGTTATGTCATCCCGAAGTTGGTCTTCCTTAATTTTCCACGTGACACTATTTTTGACGCGTATGTTTCCTTTTTTTTTTTAAAATAAAATAATTTTATTTTTCTCTATTCATAATTCAAGATATAATTGTGAAAAACGATTATTACACACACATACAGCTTTATTAAGACCACCGGTCCTATATAGATTGACCGCAGGAAGGAAGCATAGATAGAGCTACTATATTCCAGGCAGCACAGAACCAAACAACAGCCTTCAGGTCTGACACATGTCCAGTGGCCACAGATTCCACCGTAAAAGCGTTTAATAACTATAAATATTTCTTAAAATGAGTTCTTTTTATTTTATTATTTCAAATTTATTGTTGTTATTTATTTTCAATAAAAGAAACTAATTGTGAGAAATATCTAAAGTTTTTAAATTTTCGAATGCCCTTACTGTAATGATAAATTAATGGGAGGACCTAGCTCATTAGTGGTGAACTCTCCCAGCGGTTTAAAGCCAATTAAGCCGTTTAAAAACTAAAGCCAACCTGTATACCTTGGTTTTGGGCTATGACCCTCATCTGTATACACACATATATATATAATATAAATTTCTACATATATTATATGCTATATATTTATACATATACAACATAGATTCTGAAATAATTGTGTGTGTTGTGTTGTGTTGTGTGTGTGTAAATCTACTTATATAATTGCCTTATTCTGTCTGTGTGAAGTTCACTGTGTGAAGTTCACGGATAGATTTTGGTCAGAATGGATTAAAAAAAAAAGTGTCAAGGGATGGGAATCGAACCCACGACCTTCCACTTACCGGGCAGATGCCATGACCACTAGGCTACCCTGTGTGTGTGTGTTGTGTGTAAATTGTTTCTTTATTCAATAAAAATGGCAAGCTTTCAAGCGTTAGCTTAGGTACCTCCTACAGCTCTCTCTCTATTCAATATACAGTTACGAGCGTCATGCGTTCTTCATCTCTTAATTCTTCAGTTTTCATCTCTGTCACCGTTTGCTTTTTTTTTTTTTGGAATGGCGCTCTCCTATTGGTTGGCTACGATCACGCCACCTTTGCCCCCCACTCGCTTTTTCGTTTTTGTATCTATTGTGTTGGAGCGGGTCGCTCCTTAAATAAATGCATATATTAGTTAATAACTAAATGGAATCCTCTCTTTCTTTTTCCCAGTAAGAGACGCCTACGGAAGCCAACAGTACATAGACAGATAAAGCACATAGGCTATAGTTATTAACTAATATATGCATTTATTTAAGGCGCCAATTTATAATTGTAACAAATAGTATTTGAATAAAAACATTCAATCGGGTAAAACACGGGTGTTGTCCGGGTCATTCGGCTAGTATATATATATTGTAGGAATTTGCGAAACAATTGGCTTGATGATGAGCTATCACTTGAAAACTTGCCTTTTTTATTGAATAAATAAACCTTTTGTAATTATTTCGATTAATATATATATATAACAGTTGCGGGAGTATACACATATATATACCAAACGAGCCATCTCTTCCTTTAATGGTGCATTAGGACGATGCATATATATATATATAGATGGAAATTTTGCCGGAAGGATAATGATCTAAAGAGACAAAGGTAGCCTCTCCCGTCAAAATAGACATCAAAACAAGACGCCATAGGCTGACGAGGGCTATTAGCCCGAAACCAGGGTCTCTAGGTGGACGCTTTTCAGTTTGCCAAAGCTGGTGTTGTGGCTTTGTCACCGACCCGAGGCCGCTAGTTTGCGGTGACGGTCAATAGATGGCGCCTAGTTTGACCGGAGAGGCGACCTTTGTCTCTTTAACACATATATATATATATGTAACTAAAGAGGCATCTACCCCCCCCCAGAACTATGCACTGTGCATCACCCTAGTAAAAAACTTACTAGTGATGATGAAGAATGAGCCACAACACCAGTTTTGAAAAATTCAGACAAGAATCCAACCTATACAGGTTGGATATACCAGGGTTTCGGGCTATGGCCCTCATCAGTACAGGGGCGGCTTGGATTTCATAGCATCCTACGATAAGGTTTATCATGGTGGGTAGAAGTTGGCGACTTCTTTTACTGTAAGTGCACCACATGTCTATACATATGGAAAGCAGATCGACTTTGCACTTAAAAATATGCCAGAGCCCCGTTTGGTTACTTGCACTCCCTGGTGGAGGTTGTACTTTTGCAAGAATCGGAAGCCATTTGAGCATTTTCTTTTTTAAATCAGAAAATAGTGCCCAATGCGGGATTCGATCCCGGGTCATAGTGGTTGAAAACCAACGGTTTAGACCACTCATCCATTGACCTCCATTTCTAATTTACTTTAATTCTCATTTTTAAATGTTTAAGAGATCCTCACAACAAAATAAAGAGAAATATAAAATTATAACAGTATTGAGTTAAGCCATACAAGAAGCACATTTGTTTCAAGTGTCTGCTTACGGATGGTTACATCCTGGCGAGTATAACTATTTGATTAAACCATTGTACTGAAGAACTGTACTATAGTTATTTTTTTTAGCCAAAAATAATTTATTAACAAAATATATAGAATACAAAACGAGATAATAATTTTACAAATGATAATCTACAAGAAAGGTAAGGTGGTAGTGATATAACCAAATAGTTGATAAACTAACAACAAAGTATTTACAATAGTTATATATTCAGTGACAATAATTTTTCAAGGATATTGCTTTGTCATTCCCTTAGTTGTGTATATGGCTGAAATACGCTCTGAAAAAGCCATTTGGAAAGAGAAAATTAAGGCTGATGAAACTGTAAAGCCGCAACCTGGTGTAACAATATTTATTCCGACAGATGGCGTAAGCCATCAGAAACTTTTAGTTGTACGATCTGGATATGTCTTTTTTATTAATCTATCCACCTGATATTAGTACAATTTCTCACTTTTGTACAATTTCCTAGTACTAGTTAACAATGTGGGAACACAGAATACACAACAGACGGATAATTATCATGACATCTTGTTAAGGATATTGTTATGTAACTTCCTCGAAATGACATTTACATAATTATCAAAGTGGAAGCAACTCTTTGTTTGAGAAATTTTCACGGAAATTGTGCTACAGAGATCTAGTTAGATCTTAATCCAGCGTAGGTTTACGGCACATGGGTAGTTGTTGCTGAGTGGTATTCTATATCAAAATAATTTTAAATAGAAAGGTGTTTAACACCTTTCTAACATTCTGAAATACTATTTCTGGTATGATGGAAGTCTGAGAAAACAAATGGAAATTTTATAAATAAGTGATATAACAAAAGAGTATAATGTAGAATAATGGAAAAACTTTCCCTGTATAAAAAAAGAAGTATTCTTACACTCATGGACAAAACTTAAGGAAGTGGAGATTCTTTGAAGAAGACATAGGCAATTTTGTTCACACTTGGTTATCTCGTGTCTTCAATAAAGGTCATTGTGTATCAAATGACTTTCAGAGTTATTGTCTGATATACATGCTAAAAGGTACAAATTCCTAAGTTTAGTCCTTAAGTTAAGTGTATTTCAACTTTTGACTAGAAATGGGTACCTTTATTAAAAGCTGGAAAGACTAGGGAATAAACGGATATTTGACTGGCTATTTTATCTCTAAGACTAATGTCTTCTTTATGTCTCATTTTAGCGTTAAAATCCTTAAAGAATCGTGTTTATTTGCTAGAAATCTAGCTAATATTTTAGCTTTTAATTAAGATACTCATTATCAATCCAAGTTACAATATTAGTTGAATATTTTCTTAGCAATTTTATTATTTTTTAAATAGAGTCTCTACAACCAAATCAATATTACATATCTCTTTTTGTTAGTTTGTTTGTAAGTGTGTAAAATAAAAATATGTTTATAGGATAGTTTACTCTATCCTAAATGCGTATATAATATCTATATTACAAAAGCCATTCATTAGAAAATAGATAAAACACACCTTAATGCTATTTATTTTAAACTTTGAGAAAGCTTTATCGCCTTTTTTTAACCATGAAAATCTTCAATGGACCAAATGGACTCAAGATAACATTTTGCCACCAGATTATTCTATTGATCATCTTGAAGGAACCTGATTGAGGATGTACATCAGTCTCTGAAAACTTATTCATTTGAAATGACAACTCCTACACAGGTTTAAAGTCGTAAATCTCTTCACTAGTTAGAAAATATATAGCACAATTCAATTCTCGAAGGAATAAGGTTATACTTAAACTCTTTTAATTCCCCATAAAAATTTGCTTCAATGGCCGGCAGGCAAAGAAAAATGTTAAGAAAGGTTCCACTATCCCAGAAGACGCTAAGAAAGGTGAAGAACCTACCTGAAGCGTCCGGCCTCCAGTACCTTGCACGTTCCCCCGTTCTCACACGGCTTGCCGAAGCAAGCGTCGATGACGTACTCGCAGTGAGGACCGTGGAAGCCCGGGGCACAGAGACACTCGAACTGTCGCAAGGGTCGGGTCTGACAAGTGCCTCCGTTCTGACAGGGGAACAGATAGCAGGCGTCGCACTTGGCTAGTACCTCAGGCTCTGGAGGTTTGCCTGTCACATCGACCTTATATCTCATTTCCCTTCTTAGCTAACGTTTTGTTAATCCTAATACAGCCTAGCTGCTTCGTCTATATACACTCATAGACAAAACTTAAGGAAGTGGAAAGTCTTTCATATCACCGGACATCTGTTTTTTTTTTTTTTTTTTTTTTTTAAGGAGACAGGCAATTTTGTTCAAACTTGGTTATCTCGTGTGTCCTCAATAAAGGAAACTATGTATCAAATATCTTTCAGAGTTATTGTCCCGATAAAAATGCTAAAAGGTACAACTTCGATAAGTCCATAAGTGTATTCTCCAATTTGATTTGTTAATGAACATCACTCGTAGCTCATCTAATGTAATCAGAATAAACATTTAATAATATTTTTACGGCAGAGAGAAGACAAGTATTCCAAAAGTTTAAGTTAAAAAAAAAAATAATTCAATAACAAAATCAATAGAATGCAAAACCTGATAATAATTTTACAAGTAATATCTACAAGAATGGTAAGAGGTAATGACGTACTTAAATATTTATGATGATAAAGTAACAACAGAGTATTTACAATAATTAATCAGTTACAATATATACACGAGTAAATATATGAAACTTTTTAATAAATTCTTTTAATAGTTAAAGGAAAAACATTTCAAAACATCGCTATATTTGACTCATATTTATAAACCAAACGACAGAGGAAAATCTGTGATTAGAAAGTATTTAAAGAAGATCTAAAAAAGAAAAAACGCTAACGCATCAATCCCTAATTGAAGGTTCAAAGATTAAAAAAAGCAAAATTTAAATATCCAAAGACAAAAGAAAAAAGGGTAAGTCTTTTAAAAAATACTTATTGCGCGAGACTACAAGTTAAAAAAAAAAGGAAACACCCAAACAAATCTCCATAAAAAATCTTCTAAAATATGCCAGCATCTCTTGGCTCAAGGTAAAAACATAAAAAGAAGCTTTAATAGCTTTTTAATGATTAGAATTAGCCGAGGGCCCATGAGAGAGAGGTGAGTCTGGCCTGAGCACACATTTGCTGAAAGTGCAATTTTTCCTTTTTTTTTCTCTTTTAAAAATATCTCTAATTGAACATGGAAAATGTGTGAAGGTATTTAAATGTTTCAGATCAATGTTTTGCGAGAAAAAAAGGACTAGTAATGAATGTTGGTTCTGTTTTTTAGTTGTATTTTATGAATGATATAATCGTAAAATGTAGTTTAATTTCACTGTGTCGACATTTTATTTTAAGGTATATTTTTATAAACTATTTACGATTGATTAAAAGACATTCATTTCATGCGTTGTATTCTGTTAGTCTGTGAAAATACGAAAATGAGGATGATAAATAAATTATAATGATAATAAATCGCCGATTGTCGTGGTCCATTTGGATGAGGAAAGCGAAGACTAGAATGCGGCTGATTCCACACTCGCCTTTTCAGTAATACGCTAACCATGATGTATGTACGGTGGAATCTATGGCCACTATACATGCGTCGAACCTGTGGCTGTTGTTGGGTTCTGTACTGCCTGGAGTATAGGAGCTCCATTTATGCTTCATTTCTGTGGTGAATCTGTATAAGACCGGTGGTCTTAATAAAGCTGAATGTGTATATCTATGTATGATATTGATAATAGAAATAAATTTCAAGCTTTTTTTCGCTGTCTTTCTAGAGAATCGTTTGTAGAGCAGGAATTCCTCAATGTATATTTATCTCTATATTATCAGAAGAATCGGTGAGGTGAAGATTTTCTTGTAAAAAGCTCTCGAGCATTTCTGCTCTCTTCTACAGGAGTAAAATTGAGAACGTATAAGAGGATACTTTGTATCAATTAAAATTAAACCTACAGAAAAGACATAAAAACTTTATATAAACGCAGTATATGATTTTAAATATATTTTAAACTCTATAAAATCTATTGTTGTTCAGTCTATCGGGGCCATGGCGACACTCACCAGTACAGATAAAGGAGGAGGTCGGGGCAGTCAGCACCAGCTTGTCCTTCATAGGCCGGGGCTCGGCGCAGGTGGCGATCCCGGGCTCGATGTAGTCCGTCTTGATCCACTCAGCCAGCCAGCGTAGCTCGCAGTCGCAGTAGAGCGGGTTGGCGCCCAGAGCTCTGCACGCACGGTGACTGACTGCACGGTGAGGTACACATGCTGCACGGTGGAGTAAACATGCAGCACGGTGACTGACTGCACGGTGATGTACACATGCTGCACGGTGACTTCACGATGATGTACACAGGTTGCACGGTGACTGATTGTACGGTGACTGCACTGAGATTTACAAATGCCGCACGGTGATGTACACATTCCGAATAGTGAATAAAAGATCTTATACTTTCATATAGTTCATGATTTGAAAACTGTTAGCTTTTTCTTTAGACTGAGTGGTTGAAATAATCTCTAAGAAGACCTACCCTCACTAATGGGAAAAGAATGTTTAATTAATTATCTGGGTAATATATTGTACTTACATATGGGTGATGGACTCCAGTTCTCTAAATGTTCCTTCCGGGATCATGGAGATATCGTTTCCTTGCAAGGACCTGGAACAGTTTTGGTTTTGTTTTCTTCCATAGTTTTAGTTTAGTTTTCCTCCGTTGTTAACAGTCATGTGAGAATATGTAGCAGCGTCCTTGTGTCGATGTGTGTCAAAATATGGCAGTTCCAATACTTTATTTAATTATTTCCAATAAAATATTTTAAAAAAGATATAATAATGTCTTGAGAGAGAAAATAAATTATATTAAAAAATATCAACGG